TATATATATATATATATATATATATATATATATATATATTCACTTAGAGTTGACCAAAATGATTCTTAATACAACAAGGAATGAGTGGAAATGTAGTGGTATGCAATTTGAAGGAATAACCTGCATCTAGTTTGGGGTAAGAAACTACCATGAAATTCATTCATACATTCATGTGATTAATATTGACATTCACTGATAATCGACTATTCTGGAGTCTATTGCTGGGGAAGGAACAAGGAAGGAACAAAACAGTCTCTGCTTTCTTGGAGCTAACATTCTGGTTAGGTAATGCAAATAATAAACAAACAGACATATGGTAGTATGTCAAGCAATGATAAACACAGTGGGGAAAAATAAAGCTGAAAAATAAAGGTAGTAGAGAGGGTTGGGCAGCAGAGAAAGCATACTCATTTATGTTCATTGGTCAAAGAAGGCCTCACGGAACAGAATCTGGAAAGAAGCCGGGGAGCAAGTCCTGTGGGTACCTGGAGGGAGAGTTTTCAGGCTGAGGAAGCAGCAAGTGCATAGGACCTGAAGTGAGAATATGTTTGGTGTGTTCAAGGAATAGGAAGGAAGACATTGGGGCCGGATGAGTAGAGGAGGGTGAGATGGTTGAGGAGCAGGAGGACCGACCATGAAGGGTCTTCTAAACCGTCGTAAAGACTTGACTTTTATTTCAACTGTTACAGGACGCTAGCAGAGGATTGTGAAAGGGAATAATTTGATCTGACTCATGAGGACTCATGTTCTCTAGTGATCGTAGGGTCTCCTGTGTAGAGAATGGACTATAGTGGGGCAAAGGTGGGATCAGGGAGACTATTTAGGAGGCTCTTGCGATAACCCTGTTAAAGAGATTACAGATAATTTTACTAGTGTCACCCCAATAAATTTAATAAAAATTTAAAAAGGTTATAGAGGAAGAATAGATAGAAAGAAGTGGTCACATTTTGGATATATTTTGAAAGGGATGATGATAGGATTTGTAAATAGTTTGGGCATACTTTGTGCCTTTCATGAGCATTGGGCACACCTAGACATGGGCTCTTAAAAATTATCCTAAATATATTTTATTTATATTCTTACTTTGAAGAAAAATGTTTGAGAAAAAAAACAGTAGTGAAATTTACTTGATGCAATGTGTAGTAATAATTCATCTTAAAAGCTGCAACACAGGACTGGGACAATAAGTGTTTCATCGGTAATTGATTTGTACTGAAGAGCACTGACTCTGAGAGACCTCTTATTGTTTTACAAGACCCAGTGAACTTAAAACCATAATAACCACTTGGTTTTTCTCTTGGAATTCCCTTTTTATTTTTGCTTCGTGAAATTCTAAAAATATGTGGTTTACCTAAATTGGATAATGAATTGTAGCCAACTTTCGTCTGAATGCTGTGCTAAATTCTGAGTTGTCATTTCATCATTGAAGATAATGAACTATCTTTAGAGAAGTAAAAAATGTGCTTTAGAGAAGTCTTTAAAATAATAATGAATTGATTAGTGAGTATGAAGAAAAATAATTGGAGAAATAAAATATGTTATTTGGGAGCCAATGATGAAGAAAAACATTGGGAGATATTTTTCTTCTAAAAATAGTCTATCCTAGTTCAGAAACTTGAATTGAAAACCTTATATAATTTCTTATATTTTCCCCCCATGTGATTAAATTCAATTTGAAAGTAATAAAACTCTACTACAATGTTGGGAATAATTCAGTAGTTGAAGTGAAACTGATAGTTAGTGTAAAAGTATATTGTTAATTAGAATACATACTCATAATTCAGAGAATGGAATTCCCAACTGTTCTAATTTCTATAATGAAAGAAAGTGAATCCTCAGGCAGTATATAAAATTATGTGACTCTATATACTACTAAAGACTATATTTTTTGTTTGATTCAATTTAAGATTTTTTTCTACTTTCGTGAGTATAATGTTATATTCTACCTAATGCCCCTGTTCTTTGACATTTCTGATAATATGCCTGAAGTGATGTACATATCTCAAAGGTAGCTGAGAATATAGCACCAGAGCGCAGAGACATCTAGGCCCGAGATGAGGATTAGAGTCATCCCCAAAAAGGTGATAGTTAAAGCAGCGAGAGTAGATGAGTTCACTTAGGAAGTAAGCAGAGCAGAAGAGCCGGGATAAAGTTAGCAGCATGAGGTGGTTTCCACATTTAATCGGTAGGAGGAAGTCTGTACAGAGCCTGTAGCAGATCAGATCCCTAGGGGGAGAAAAGATCAAGAAAATCAGGGAAGTAAAATTATTTGGTTCTATGAGAACACAAATCTTGGTAATTTTGATTTTTAAAAAATGTAACTTACAGAAGATTTTTATTTCTTACTGTATTCCTTGAAGATCTTCACAGAAATGTATTATTTTTTACCATAGCTTATCAACATTTAAGATGTTTTCAAACTATATTCATTTAAAAAATATTTATCGATTACCAATTATGTGCCAGATGGTAGGTATTATAGGTGCTGTGAACAAAATAGACAAAAAACCCTGCCCTTGTGAAACCTATTCTGCAGTAAAAAGAGACAGACAATAAATTAGTAATGTATAGAATAAATCACTGATTCATTATATAGTATTAGTAATAAGTGTTAGGGAGGAAAAGAAAGGAGGAGGAGCAGTGTATTAGCTTGGGCTGCCATAACAAAATACCATAGACTGAGTGGCTTAAGCAACAATTAATTTCTTCACAGTTGGGAAGTCTAGAAGTCCAAGACCAAGTTTGTAGTTTAAGCAACAGAAATGAATTTTTTCCCCAGTTCTGAAGGCTAGAAAGTCCCGTTTTAAGGTTCTGGCCAATTTGATTTCTGGTGAGGTTCCTTTTCCTGCCTTGCAGATGGCTGCCTTCTGGCTGTGTCCTCAGCTGGTGGAGAGAGTGAGCACACTGGTGTCTCTTCCTCTTCTTAGAGGGCAGTGACCCCATCATGAGGGCCCCACCTTCATCATCCCATCTAAACCTAAGTATCTCCCAAAGGCCCCATCTCCAAATACAGTGAGGGTTAGGGCTTTAACATATGAATCTGTGAGGGACACAATTCAGTCCATAGCAAAGATGCAATGTGTGGGCAGAGATGGTAGAAGTGCTGGACTAGTTGGTTTGAAAAGGGGTTGATCAAAGCAAGTTTCACTGAGAAGATGGTATTTGAACAAAGACTTGAAATAAGTGAAAGGGCCATGTGGCTCCCTGGGAGTGGGGGGTGGGGCAAGGGTAGGGGGGTTGGGTAAGAACCTTCCAGGCAGAAGGAATATTAAGTACAATGCTCTGAGGAAGGAGTGAGCCTGGTGTATTTGAGGAACAGCAAGGAAACCAATATATGGCTGGAATGGAGTAGGCAAGGGCAAGTGGAGGGTGTGGGCCTTGGCACCCCTGTAGGGACTTGGGCTTTTATTTGGAGAGGGTTCGCCAATGGAGCATTTTCAGCAGACAGCTAGAGGATAGCAGGGTCTAACTTACCAAGGAGGTGATCTACAGCTCCTATAAATTAGTGCAGTCATATAATTTTGGAGTATTTTAGTATAATATATTGTTTAGAAAATATACTAGTTCCTTTTTTGTTTCGTTTTT